GCACTATTCCCTGGTTGTAAATAAAAAGAACTGGGAATGGATGAATGCCTGCTGTTTTCTATGACCTTGAGACCTGAGACCTGTAGAGGAATGTTCCAATTCTTCTCCTTGGTTCCATTGGTTTTCAGTTGGTTTTTGTGTCTAGAATACCAGTGCCTGGTCCCCTGTGACAATGCCAAAGCAGAATCCACTTTGCACATGTTTTCTTGTCAATGATGCCTGTACCATTAGAATTCTATTCCAATGGCTTATTCCTCCCCAGCCTTGCCATTCTCGTTGATGCGTGAACTCAAAACGGAGTTTCTGGGCTCACTGGTTCTTTTCTGAGTGGGAACTACTTCTCTCTCTTGAAAAGCTGTGTTTCGCTGATGTGGATGCCAGGAAGTGTCTGCTGACAGGAGCCTGATATAGCTGTCTCCTTAGAGTTCTGCCAGAGGGTGACCTATACAGAGGTGGATGCTCACAGCTAACCACTGAACTGATCATGGGGTTCCCCAATGGAGGAGTTAGAGAGAAGAGTGAAGGAGCTGAAAGGGTTTGCTGCCTCATGGGGAGAGCAACAATACCAACCAGCCAGAGCTCCCAGGGTCTAAATCACCAGCCTGGGAGCACACAGGGAGGGACCCATGACTCAAGCTGTATATGTAGAGGAGGATGGCCTTGTTGGGCATAGGTGGGAGAGGAAATCCTTGGTCCCATGAGGGCTGGATGCCCCGTGTGGGGGAATTCAAGGCTGGGGAGGTAGGAGTGGGTGGGCGGAGTGGTTGGGGACACATCCTCATAGAAGCAGGAGGAGGGAGATCGGATGGTGGTTTCTGGGTGGGGGGAGAATGGGGAAAGGGGATAACATCTGAAATGTAAATAAAATATCCAAAAAAAAGACAAACTGTGTCTCCTACGTTCTGTGATGGTGATATCTGTTTTCTTTTCATCTCTCCTCTCCTCCCTTCTCCTTCTCCTCCCCTCCCTTCTGCCCTCCCCTCCCTTTCTTCTGTTCTCCTCCTCCCCTCTCCTCCCTTCTCCTGTCCCTTTCCTTCTGCTCTACCTTCTCCTCCCCTCACTTCTCCCCTCCTGTCTTCTCCCTTCTATTCTGCCCTTCCTCTCCCTTCTCTTCCATTCTTTCCTTCCCTTCCTCTCCCTTTTGCCCTCTCCCTCCCTTCCCTTTTCCTCCTCCCCTCCCTTCTGCCCTCTCCTCCTCTCCCTTCCCCTCCCCTCCCTTCTGCCCTCTCCTCTTCTCCTTTCCCCTCCCCTCTCCTCCCTTTCTTTCCCTGCCTCTCTCTTCCCTTTCCCTCGATTTTTGTCCTCTCATTTTGTCTTCTTTCATTCTTTCACCTTTTAAAGAATCATAGGTTCTGGAGACGTAACTCAGGTCTTCATGCTTGTAAAGCACAGCACTTTTCTGACTAAGTCATCTTTCTAGCCCAGCTGACTTGTTTGTATTTCTCCTCTGCATTCTGTTAGTGAAATCTCAGCCTCATTAAAGGAAGAGTTATGTCAGTTTGCTTTACTTCTCTAATCCCAATATTAGAACTGCACCACACCCAGCATGCAGAGGACCAGCTTACTCCTTTTGTGGGTGAAGGAATGAATGTCTAGGATAGAGGCCAGGCACATCCTTGAGGTCTGACAATCTAACAAGCTGCCTTTAACCGTAGTGTATTAAAGGTCTCGTTTTTCAGCAGACTTCAGGATGTGGGTGTCTTTTACTTTCCTCTTGTCTAGGTGGAACATAGCAAGCATGATATTCTTTTGCTATTTTTATTATGATGGCATGGTTTGTATAGCTAGGCTACATGTAAGAGGGGATTTTATTGTTGTGTTGTCTGCTTTATAAGAGAGTGAAGTCCTACCTTAAACTTTGGGTAACCCCATTCTAAGACACAGACAAGGGGCATAGAGCCACTGAGGTAGCCTTGAGGCAGTCCTGACTCAGCTTTTTATACCAAAATGCTGCCTCACTCAGAGAAGTAATTGGATTGAATTTGGACTGGTGAAGCTGAAGGGTGATGGTGTGTGTGTGTGTGTATAGGAACATCACTCATGGCACGTGTCATACATTGTACAGGACCTTTGTTGATCGACACATAATCTGACTTTGCATTATACTTGAACAAAGATGATAATTTTTTTATTGCTGAAGTCCTTTTACAATGAAAATTTGAAAAAGTACAAAGAGGTTGAAGACATTTGCCACAAGTTCAAAACAGTTATTTTTCTTATCTTTTTTTCTTCTTTACATATTTTGTATAACTCTAGTAATTTCATATGTCTGCAATTATTTATTTAAGCTGAAGGGCATAGCAATTTTTTTTCATGATATCCCCATCCCCAACCATGCAATATCATTGCCTCTATGATACCCTAGGGGCTTAGAGGGGCCTTGAGTAAATCTAACATCATTGTCTGTTGATAGAAAGTTTTTCCTGCTTTCTTCAACTTTCATAAAGTTGCTGTACATTTCCCAACATATAACTCATTTTCTCAGTTGGAGGGGGGGTCATTTTTCTGGGATAAATTCCTAGGAATGAAACCACTTCAAAGTTAAAAGCTGTTTTTCAAAGGCACTGTCCGTTTCCACAACCATACTCAATGGCTGTTTGATGTCTGTTCATTTGTATCACAAGAAAAATGGGTCACTAACCTCTTCCCCTTTGCATGCATACCATTTGGAATATCATCACTTAAAATAAATGGTCATAAAGGCTTAAATATCTTTAATGGTTGTCATTCTCATAGTCTCGGCTGGCAGCTTCTTAGGAATTGTAGTGGCTGCAGGGGCTTTATTTCCTCTTTATCTTTTTCCTCCTTTTTGCTGTTTTTTTCCCTCCCCCTGGTTTAAAACATGTTTTAAACCATGTGCTGTAGCCTCAGTTCTTCTTGTTCAGTCTCTGTTGATGAATGAATGTAATTGACCCCTGTTGTCTCTATTATACAATCCATGGCAATTTGTTTTTTATGTAGTAGTTGTTTTCTGAGCTGCGTCAAAACTGCCCTACAAAAAGAGTTCATTATCAGCCCAAAGGAAAAGAATTTTAACTGACAGAGTGAATAACAATCCCAAGGAGAAGGGGGAGGAAAAGTCTAAGCCATTTCAATTTTCAAGTAAATGAGTGAGTTTTAGGGTCAAGATAATTAATTACTGCTTAGGTCAAGCCCAGCAAGACTTGATTATACCTAGAAATTATTAGATTAAAAATGGCTTCCCCATGAACACTGTTGCACTCTGGATGTATAGAAGGATTATATCCAGGTCCATGATGGTACTCAGTGTGACACTTTGTAGCCCATTAGAAGTTGGTTTTAGAAAACCTGGCTAAACATCTATGCAAAACAATCAGGGGTGACTTCCAAATGCGAACATTTATCTGACCATACATTAGCCATATAGAACATCCAAATACACAATTCTATGAGTATTAGAAAATACTTTGTACTGGAGAGATGGCGCAGTTGGTAAAGTAGTTGTCTCTCAAACATGAGGACCGGAGTTGAGTCTCCAGGACCCACGCATGGTATAAAGGTTGTTCTCCACACATGCACATTTCTTCATGAGTACAAACAGTAATGAAAGCATGTTGCCATTCATCTGTTTTGGATTTTCCAGATGTTTCTACTGCATACTCTCATGAAGTTTTGATGTTTACTTTTGCATATGCATGTGTATCTGTGTGGGTGATTACCTTGCGTATGGTGATGACTGGTAAGCAGAAGAGGGCTTCAGGTCCTCTGGAGCTGGTGTTAATAGTGGTGTTGGGAACCGACTTTGGTCCTCTGGAAGAGTATCAAGTGCTCTTATCCCTGAGCCCTGTCTCCAGCCCCTTGCATAGACTTTTTTATTCATAGACAGAGTTAATGGAGGAAGTAGTAGAATTATAGGGAAGAGATGCTAGACAGAAGCCAAGGCTGACGTTAGCTACCTCAGCTTCAGATTATTTTGAGCTCAAAGGACTTTGTATGTTCATAGACAAGGTAAAGCCCTACCAAGCAGAGCAAACAGTAGAAGGAAATGAATTTTAAGCTGTAAACACAGAACAGAGAGCAGTTTGAGGAGTAAAGGCTTGTGTGGCAAAGTCCCTCTAAGTGAAGGAAGCAGGCTTGTAAGTGGCTGGCTTTTGTACCTTTCCGCTGAGGGTGCAGAACAGAGAACTGGGAGACACAGGTCTCCTCTTGTGAAAGGCTTTGAGGGGTAGATAGAAGATTCTGGGAAGGGCTTGAGAAACAAGTGTGCTGCATTTAGTTGAATCGTTCAGATCTTATCCATGCCACATAGGGGATGGACATATATAATGTATATTCATCCTGGCAAACATGAGAAGCTGTTCCAGGAGATGGGAGCACGTCTGGACCCTAAATGAGAAAGGCCAAGCTGGAAAAGGAAACTCCCACCTCATATAGACATCATCTGTGCAGTCACACTGATGCAAGGGCTTAGTGGAAAAGGGAGTGGGGCATCTAATTGTTTTGCTTTGATTGGGAAGAGTGACCAGGCAAAACTACAGCCTCACTCCTAGGAAGGTAGCATTGCTGGTAACTTCATTTAGTGCCTTCTCTTTGTTTGTTCAAGTTCATGTAAAATAAGTTTTTAAGAGATTTCTGAACACACACAGACACACACACACACACACACACACACACATACACACACACACGATACAAATAATGTGTTCCAGTCAAATTCTTTACTGTTCTTTTCAGTAGCCATTCTCCCCATTGTCAAGAGCTTCCCTAAGACAGGAGGTTGGTCCCAACTTCCTTCCGTGGTTTCGGGTCCTAGGTAACCACACCTCCCATACGTGTATTTAGTACTTTCCAGTTTCTTAAGCATTTTCACTTGATCATCAAGGAGGCTCTCTTGCTTGGAAAGACTTCACTCTGGTTCTAAATGTACGTTTCTTATTTTTCTCGGAGACCCCCCCGGCCCTCCCCCCAACACAAGGGTGATCATTTGCCTGGAATCCGGCTCAGCTAAGCCCATGTTATCTCTGTTTTCTCCCTCACAGGTTACTCAGGCCAGGATTTTAACTGGGTGGATTATCACAAGCAGCGCGAGGCAGAAGAAGCACCTCCCTTCTGCTTCAAAAATGTAAGACCCTTCCCATCTGCTCCCTTTTAAAGTTGTAGATGCTATTCCTTGTACCTTCTCTCCTATTTGGTGACCGAGTATGGAGTACTACCTGACACAGAAAGACCGTGAGTGAAACTGCCACTGGTTTTGAACAAGCTTCATTTCATATTGCTTGTGTTAGGATAGCACCAGCCTGCTCTGATAAACCATCTAACAAATGCAAATCAGCTTGATCCTGTTCCAGTTTAGTGTTTACTTTCAGAAGAGTCAAGGGTAAAAGGTGCCCTGCTCCTGAAGTTTGTTAGAATGTGTTATCCTGGGCTGGGGATGTAGCTTAGTTGATAGAACGTTTGCCTGGAGTGTGTGAAGCCCTGGTATCAATTCTCAGCCCCTCGTGAAGTATGCATACAGGTACTGTATGCCTGTAATCCCTTCACTTTGTAGGTAAAGGCAAAAGGACTAGAGGTTCAAAGTCATTCTCTCATTCACAGTGAATTCAAAGCTAGCCCAGGCTACAAGATACCTTGCTTTCAACAGACAAAAAAAAAAAAAAAAAAAAACAAATACTTTAGGAAGTGCTTTCGTTACTAGTAAGATGCCAGCTAAACAGCTTTGGCTGTGCCTACTCTAAAACTTACATTATTGCCATCACAATTGCATTTTAATATTGAGTAATGGATAAATGAATTATTGAATACCTAGAGGGGAGTAAGGTAAAGTTTGGTAAAGTAGTTGTTAAATTGTTCTCTTAGGTTTCATCAACCCTGGAGACTGTAGGGAGGGGTATAAAACATTACCTCTGTTTTAAAAAGGAAGCATGGGTATGCTAAGTGTGTCTAACATACCTGTAGTTAGGCAAATAAATCTCCCAGGCTAAGAAGAGATGACCTGCAGTTCCCACCCTATGTAGCATTGCTAATCGAAAGGCTTGCTTCTGATCTCATGTGCCCAGAGCTACTGAATGAGTGACTGTCTGCATCACAGGGATAGTAGAATTCAAAGAGTAAGAATGGAAAGCCTTGGTTTCACAGAAGCACCTCTGAGCATAAGTCAAAATGAGGTGATGAAAAATGAGGTAGTTTGAATTTTGGGGGTCGTGCATACTCTTAGGTAGAGAGGAACGTGAGCAGTGGAGTTGGAGAGCAGGACTCTCTTGACTCTTATGACTGTTTGGTTAATGACATTAACGTTGTATAGAATGGTTTCTATGCAGAAACATAGAACTGTTGGGGATGCCTTTCAAACTGTGTGATGGGGACAGGTATGGCTATGTTCCAGGACCCTTTGAGGCTTATCAAATCTAGTGACACATGACTTTTTATTATGTTGCTGTCACTGTCTCAGAATCTACTGGCCCATCTTTCATGGACTGAGGTCAAGGAGGCCCATGAAGCCACAAAACCTGTTCCAGGTTGTGTGACTTTTATCTCACAAGAGAAGCATTTCTTTTTTGACTCTTTATCTTTACAAAGATAAAGTAACCAGTCCTAGGATTATTATATGCTCCACCCATGGCTTTTTCATGGGTACTGGGGATCTGAACTCTGATTCTTGTACTTATAAAGGCAGACACTTTACCCTCTGAGCCATCTCCCCAGCCCCCAGAAATTTTCCTTTTATCCAGGAGTATCTACATGGCATTTCATTCTGGAGCAATTAACCACAGACCAGGTTGGCTTTGGATCGTTCAGGATTCAGTCACCAAGATTAAATCTGGCTTAATGAATTTGCTGGTGTATTCATTAGGAATGCTTTTGTTTCTGGCTCCCTGTTTATTTAATAGACAGGAGAGTTGTCTGCCTGCTGGCATATGCATCCCATACTGGGACTCTGCTGAATTTGTTAGCTTGCTACAAGTGCTCTTTAATGCAGTGCTTATTATGAATTCATTTTTTAATCACGCATCTCATGTGTACCAGAGGAGAGCTGTGTGGAAGACATTTCCTTGGGGACATTTTAACAATCAGAGTTGGTTATAGGATGGATTGACATAGCCAAATGCTCAGTAAAAGAAACCCAGAGGTAACAGTTTTGTTATTGATCCTTTATAAATCACCCTCAAGCAGTGAGAGGAAATGAAAAGAGGTTATGTGGTTTGTAGCTTTTCCTTATTAAGTGAGATGAAATGCTTTTTAACTTACAGGTTCTCCACGCAGTCATCCAGCTGTGCTGCCAGAAAGAGGCTTCATACATAATTGTGTGAATGAGATAGGATGACTCACAGGAAGAAAAAAAAACCCTCTGAAAACATATCTCCTTCCCATTTCCAGAGAAACGTGAAAGGAAGGAGCAAAATGACTTTTTAAAATGGGCAAGACATAATTTTTGTTCTGATTACATAAGGATACAATTGCCTTTACAACTTCTTTTATAAAAAGACACTTAAATCTAAATTACTCTGATTTCTCTCCCCCCAAGAGTCATATAACGATATAGTCTTTTATTGGTCTTAGGAATCTGTTTAGATGAGTTTATATATTTCAAAATAGATACGCTTTTTTTTATAGTACTCTAGCATATTTGATTGCAATTTATAGTAGCTGCTGTGTGGGAAAAGTCACATTTATTGGAGAGTAATATTTGGTGAGAGCCTTGTTCATCATATGGAGAAAACTCCTATAGAATTGGTTCTCTGTAAATAGCTACTTAACTCCAGACTCAGGACCAAAACAACTCACATGAGTGTAGTGGAGCACACTCACATGTGGAGGAGAGGAAGCAGTTAGAAAGAAGGAGCATGGACAGGTTTCCTTACTCATAGTATGACGCCCGAGCTGACAACACATGGAGTAACTAAAAGACTGGTGTGAAACAACCAACCAAACATACAAGTTTTGAAAATGGTTCAATGTCCCTCAACCGGCAAATTGATTGATAAATTGTGGTGCATATGCATTAACTCTTCAGCCATAAAATAGAGCAGACCATATATGATTCTTGCAGAAATGATCCACAAATACATTTTGCTAAGCATAGTGGTTTCGTTTCTCTTGCTGTGATAAATATCTTGACTAAACGCAACATAGGTGGAAGATTCCCGCTTACAGTCTTCAGATAAAAGCAGGAAAGTCAAGGCAGGACCTCAAAGCTGGTATAGTCAAGAACAAAACCAAGCTCCCCTTGCTGTTTACTTGTTACAGTTCATGACCCAGCCCAGGAAATGTTCATATTTACATTCAGGATAGGACTTCCCTCTCTCAACCAGAGATCAAGACAATCCCCACAACATGCTCTCAGGCCTGATCTGAATAATTTCTCATGAAGACTCTGCCCAGATTATTCTAAGTTGTGGGAAGTTGACTTTTTTTAATGCATAGAAATTAAATTTTTTTAATTTCCCCTAAAAATTTATTTATTCATTTTATGTATGTGAGTACACTGTAGCTGTCTTCAGACACACCAGAAGAGGGCACTGGATCTCCTTACAGATGGTTGTGAGCCACTATGTGGTTGCTGGGAATTGAACTCAGGACCTCTGGAAGAGCAGTCACTGAGTGCTCTTAACCGCTGAGCCATCTCTCTAGCCTGCAAGTTGACTTTCAAAACTAACCATCAACTAAGTTAGTTTTCTCAAAGTCCCAGAGGCTGAGGCTGCAACATGGATTCATAAAGCATCATAGAGTGCAATGCTGTCTATGCGATAATATAAAATAAGTAGATGGAATATAGACATGAAAGCCACATGGATGGCCAGTAGGAACTGAACATCAAGGACTGGGTATGCAGTGCTAGTGCAAGGGTGCTTGGAAGAGGTGGGGAAGTGGGGAAGGGGCTGTTCTGTATCATGACTAGCTGTGGGTACATATGGTTGTGTGCACTGGGTCAGCAGCTTTATCTTTATAGATCAACCAGGGCTCCCTAAGCAGTGGATATATATATATATATATATATATATATATATAT